GGACACCTGCTCCGCCGAGAATCCGATTTTGCAAACATTGATTGAGCGCGCTGCAAGTGCCAGGCACTGTGCCAGGGACTGGGGCTTCAAAGCCGATCGAGGCAGAGAGGCTGCACTGGGACATTAGCAAGCCTAACAGAGGGTGGGGGTGGGCACCCCGCAGCAGCCCGGCCAACCCGCTGCAACAATACTGCGTGCTGCGAAAGATTTATCGGTGCACGCTGCCCTGAGGGACGGGGAGGAGCGAGGGAGGAGAAGTGCGGCTGGGAAGAAGGCGGCTGGATTCTGCATGGGTGGGAGGGGGTGGGGCTGCATGGAAAAGGACTAATGTCCAGGGACTTCACCAAGGGAATGAGCTCCGAAATAACTGGCTTCTATTGTGCTCTCTCTGCCCCTACATACTCCTGGGATCACATGGTATTAGCCCCAGATATAGACACCAAAATTATTTCCTCGCTTCTGTTAAGGAAACTGAGGCTCGGGTATTGAAGTGTGTGTGTGCAGGAACCAGTAGGAAGGTATGGCTGAGTGATCAGGTGGCTGGGGATCTTAAAGGTTGAGGCGTGGCCTGGTGGGTGTGTCCCCTCCCCTCAAACGTAGCAGAAAAGAACATCGCACCGCATACTACGAGGATTAGAATACACATGTTCCGGAGAAGTAGTTGGGAGTCAGCCCTTGTAGCTTGCAACGGACAGGCTGTGAGAATCAACAAATGTCACTAAGACATTTTCCCCTCATCCCTCAAATATCAGCCACCCCAGTGTTCCTCAAATTGTCGTGTCTGTGAGCCACCTGAGGCTTGTGGGGTAGAGTAGCATCGGCCTTGTGTTTCTGACAGGCGCCCAATGGTGTGATATGGACAGACTTCAGGCCACATTTAGAGTAGAGAAAAACTAGGAAACAGCTTTTTGTTTGCTTTTATTTTTATTTTTTGTTTTGAGACAGGATCTCACTTTGTGGTCCTGGCTGGCCTGGAATTCACAGAGATCCACCTGCCTCTGCCTTCCAAAGGCTGGGATTAAAACAGGGCACCGGCCACAGGGATGTTTCTACTGGTGCTTAACTTTGAAAACTAGCAAAAAACAACTGATGCTTTCTTTATTCGAGCACCAACAAAGGATGTTCAGACAGTGGTTTTGTGCAGTGTGTGCACACACACACACACACGTGCAAAAAAAGAGAGAGCACTCAGCCCCTACCTCACACCATACACAAAAGTTAAATTTTTAAGTGATCCAAAAATGTAAGTAAATTGACACAACCCCAAAGGGAAACAATATAGTTAAATACTAGTGTAGGCACAGATTTCTTAGAAAAGATTTTTTTAAAACTGCATAAATGGATGGGATAAAAATCTGAACCATGGGACTGGAGATGGCTCAGTGGTTAGGAGCACTTGCTACTCTAGCAGAGGACCCAGGTTCTATTCCCTGCACCACCTCAGACCTCTCACAATAGCCTGTGACTCCAGCTCCCTTGGGCCTCAGCAGGTGCCCTCACCCATGTGTGTACCACACACAGACACAGACACATCCACATGATTAAAATAAACCTTTCCCCAAAACAAAAACCTGTTATTTAAGAAATGAAAGAGACTGAAACCAGTCAGAGTGACTCGTGCCTGTAATATCAACGCTCTGGAGGCAAGAGGATTGCTTCAAGTTAAAGGCCAGCCTGGGTTACATAGTGAAATTTCAAAAGTTTGTGTCAAAAAAGTCAGAGAGAAAGAGGGGAAAAAAAGAGAGACAGGGCTGAAGGGAGGGAAGAAGGGAGGGAAAAAGAAGAGAGAATATACAGACATGGGTATCTCAATCCTTGTTCAATATTTGTGGTCAGACATTGTGGTACAGGCCTGCCATCCAGCTGAAACAGGAGGCTTAAGACTGCAAACCCAAGCGCACACCTTTAATCCTAGCACTCAGGAGGCAGAGAGGCAGATGGATCTCTGAGTTTGAGGCCAACCTGGTCTACAGAGCGAGTTCTAGGACAGCCAGAACTACGCAGAGAAACCCTGTCTCAGGGTGTTGGCTGGGGTTGGGGGAAGACTGTAAGCCAAGCCTGTGCTACATTAATAAGACACTGTTTCCAAAAAAGGGGGGCATGAGGCGGGAGGCATTGTGATGCTGGGGAGATAGCCGGGGGGGGGGGGGGGAGAGGGAGTGGGCTTGTGGGGCTGGGGCGCAGGGGGGGGGGGGGAGGAGGCATTGTGATGCTGGGGAGATAGCTCAGTGCTTGTTGCAAAAGCATAAGGACTTGTGTCTGAGCCCCAGCAACCACACGTAAAAACTGGGCATGGTGGCGCGTGCTTTGGAGGCAGACATGTGCAGGTCCCTGTTCTCACTGGCCAGAGAGCCTATTCTAATTGGTGAGCCCCAGGTCCCAGCTCCTGAAGAACAACAACTTCTGCCACTCTCATTTGTATGCATATACACACTCACAGGTGCACACACACACACACACACACACGCATTCACGCACAGGAAAACCACAAGCTGGGAAGAAATATTATCTGATGAAGAACATGTACCCAAAATAAAGAACTCTTGCCGTTTAATAATAAAAAGGCAAGAAGCCAAAAATATTGGACAAAAGACACAAGCATGCATTTCACTAAAGAGGATACACAAATCACATATTGCCATATGGGAAAATGCTCACCCAACATCATTCGTCATCATGGAAATGCAAATTAAAACCTGTCAGTTCCCGCTGCCATAACAAAATACCACAGGCTGGGTATAATAAATAATAGAAGTTGATTGCTTAGGAGCTGGAAAGCCCAAGCTGAAAGCACAAGTAGGATCATGACAACGGCACCATGCGTACGCGTCCCTCACACACACACAAACAAACACACACACACACACAAACACACACACACACAAAAGCGAGGACAGGAAGGAAGAGACACTGTGTTCTCACACAGAAGACAAGGGTGCTACTCCCCAAGTACCGTGTTAAGGGCACTAGGTACTCATGCCTGTTGTCGGGCGAGTGGATAGATAGATGGTGCTGTGTATCTGTACGGCGCTGTCCAGGTTTGCTCTACTGTTGCTGTGATAAACTACTCTGCAATGGGAGGGTCTTTTTCAGGCTCACATTCAAGGGCCCGGGACATCGCAGTGGGGAATTCAAGGCAACTGGGGCTTGAAGCAGCTGATTACATAGTATCTGAAACCACGGGGCAAATGGTGAGAAGTGTATGTTACTACTGCGTTCCTTTTCTTGGTTTATACAGTTCAGGATCTCAGACAGGGATCCACAGTGGGCAAAAGCTTCAACAGTTAACTCAGTCAAGATAATCCCCCACATACATGCCCAAAGAATTTCCCCAGAACAGGCTGGGTGGCATATGCCTGTAATTCCAGCACTTGGGAGGTTGTGTCAAGATCAGGAATTCAAGAATAGCCTAGGCTACATGAAACCCTGCCTCTAGGTGGGGGTAGGAGGGAGATGGTTGGAGGCATGGCTCAGCAGTTCAAAGTGTTTGTATTTTATCATGATGACCAAAGTTCAAATCCCAGAATCTTCACCGAGTGGCTCAAAATACATGTGACTGTGACTCCAGGTATCCAACACCCTCTTCTGGCCTCCAAGGGTACACGCACAGAAAAGCACACACACACACACACACACACACACACAGAACAAAAAATATTAAGGCAAACTCTTATAAAAAGAAATAAAATAGAATTGTATATGCATGTATATGTCCTCAGTGCAGAGGCTATTTGAGCATACAGGTTAGAGGAAAAAGCAATCTAAGAAAGAGAGGGATCTGAGGGGATGAGAGCTGAGTCTCACCACGGACAGGAGATACAAGGGCAGAGTGGATGAAAACGACCGGGAAGCCAAGACATGAGTCAACCAGCCAGAGCTAAAGTGCCTGACGCAGAGGTCATAGCAGGAGGAGCTCTGACTCCAGGGGGACGAAGGAGTAAGAGAGAACTGCTTGTGCACAAAGAGCGAATAGGAAGCCGGATCCAGAAAAGGTAGATGCCAGCAGTTCCAGAAGAGATGGCAGAGACTGCCTCCGGCTACAGGTGCTCCTGGCTTGGCATGGCAGTCAGCCCAGGCTCCAAAGGGAACGGGGAACAATTCCAAGAGAGGAAATGGGCTTGAGCCCAGTCGGGCATCTCCAGGTGAGCTGAGTCAGAGAAGGACAGCTATAGCGAGAATTCTCAGTCTCATTTGCATCTCAGTGAGAAGCAGGTGGGTACATATGCCAGCGGTAGAGCACCCGATTAGTGCGTGCCAGCCCCCTGCACCACACTTAAAAAAAAAAATAAACAAAAGTTTAGCATTAAGTTCTCAAATATGCACACAGGAAAGTCCATAAGCCAAACTCCCAGAGCAATAAAACCAGAACACCTGTGCAACCCAC